AATATTATATAAAATATTTTATGAAAAACCTAAACTAAAAAAAAAAAATAATAATAATAATTAAACAATCAAAAATGTTGCAATTGCAGCTAATTGGAATAAATAAGTTTAAGTTGAAGTACTAAAATTATTAAAACTAAAATTTAAATAAAAATAAATTTAAAAATCATATAGAAATATCAAAAATGGAAAATGCACAAAACAAATACAATTAATAAAACTGCATAAAATCGGGAATAAAAATAAAAGCTTATTACAATATTAATAAATAATAATAATAATAAAAGCAGCAAAAAGACCCCACAAAAATAATAAATAATAATAATGATAATGACAATGATAATAATAATAATAATAATAATACAAACTATAAAAGTCATTGTGCTTCCACCATTTCCTTTAAATAGCACAAATAGCAAATCGTTGGTCTCTTGTTGTTTGGAACCATACATAAGAAATCAGGCTTGATTTACGAGACCTCATATGTCAAAGGCAGGAGCAGTGTCAAATCCTCCCATACTGTCTCATGCTGCTGCTATGAGCCCCCGTTCTCCAGCGCTTTGACCTGCGAGGGGAGTGAGAGCTGTCCAAACAGACAGAAGGAGTCGGGTGAACAGCGTGGCTGTGTTTGAGAGGTCAGATCTCCAGCACAGAGGCTAACATCAGACTTCAGCTCCAGGGAAAAACAAGACCTTTAGATAACTGTAGCCTCACAGAGACTCAAAACATGTGATAAGCTGTGCGAAGACAGAAAATAAAAGGGTGCAACGGTGGAAAGAAAAGAGGGAGACTGAGCAGAGGAGACTGGAGGATTCTCCAAATGAAGGGTGAGGAAATAATTTTCTGGAATATGGGATTCTGATCAGATGTCTACAGCAGTAGACTAAACATCGGATAAACCTCAAGTACAACGAAATACAAGTAACAAAGAAGCAAACTCCTCAAGTGAGCCTCTTAAATCAAACTGACAGTTATTGAGCTGGGTTACTATTTTTAAAAGGCATTTTCAGAGGCATTCCAGGCCAGTAAGTTTATCAAAGACAAGGTGCTATTAAGTTGCACAGAGAATATTCTCTCCCAACACAGAGCCCACAATGATTCTGCACAGCTATATATATATATACACACACACACACACACACACACATATACTACTGTGTATATGCGGTAACATTTACAATAAGGTTTGCTTTGTTAATTAGTGTTAATTAGTTAATGCTGTATTAGTTAACATGAACAGTGAAATTCACTTTTAAAGCATTTTTTTTTCAGTTTACTAACATTAACTCATGAGACCTTTAAAGTGGTACCAATAAAAAGCTTAAACTTAAAAATCTTAAATTAAAAGGCAAATATTGCTACTATTGCCAAAATAAAAATAAAAATAAATGAAAGTTATATAATAATAATAATAATAATAATAATAAACAAATAAAAACAACAAAAGTGCATAACAATTACTAAAACTTAAATTCAAATAAAAACTGAATGCATAATAAAATCGAATTCAAAATATTGATAAAAAATACAATACATAAATAGTATTAAAATATCATGACCAGTAAGACTAGAATGATATTTTTGAGAAAATTAGGTTGATTTGGACTTCATGTTAATTTTAAAATTTTTAAACGTTTTTAAACATCAGTTCAAGAACGCGTCAGATCCAAGCAGAGAGCAAGAAAAGCATGTCAACCAAGAGTCAAATGCCAAATTACACAGCCATACAGGCATTTTTGTTGTCGCCTAAAACATTTTCAAGTATGTATCATGCCGTAAGTGTCATGTTAAAGCAGACTTTGTTTTTACAACACTTGATGACATAACAATTGCAAGGTGTGACTGTCAGCAAGCGACTTCAGTGGGAAAGACTCCTAGAGTGAGATGTGGCCTGAGACAATAATTACACACACAGCATGGCCAGTCATTTTCACAGTCTGTCTGGCCTTTTAGCTTAGATTTGAAGCACAGAGTGGCTGCCTCTGGATTAGCTCTTGCTTCCAGGCCTTCCCAGCTCGAGGGCCAGCAGTCTCACGGCCGCGTGAAAGCCAGGCAGTCACGCAGGCAGTTTGCTGTGCTACGGAGCCCAGGGCTGAACTGTAGGGGATGTTTTAATGGGCACATTTCATTGTTAGGAGTGTGGCTGCTGAAATTGGGGCAAACCTACATGAACATCACAGGCCCTGGCAGACGTCTCAGTTCCACGATAATTAAAGTTCCAACGCCAGTTCTATTCAAGCTATGATTTGTGGACAAGACTTTAAGAAGTTAATAATATAAACATACTACTGTTCAAAAGTTTGGGGACAGTAAATGTTGTTGAATAAATGTTTATGCTTGCCAAATGTACCAAATGTGCATTTATTTGATTAAAAATGCTGTAAAACATTAATATTATGAAATACGATCAACATAATTACATTATTATTAACAATAAATTAATTGTTTTATATATGCATATATATTTTAAAATGTAATTTATTCCTGTGATGGCAAAGCTAAATTTTCACCATTATTATTATTATTTTTTATTTTTTTCATAAATCATTCTAACATGCTGAATTGCTGCTCAAGAAACATTTCATATTACAATCAATGTAAAAAAAGTTGCGGTGTTTAATATTTTAATATTTTTGTGGAAACCGAATTCTTTGATGAACAAAGTTAAAAAAATTATTTGAAATATATATCTTTTGTAACTATATAAATATCTTTACTGTCACTTTTGATTGATTTAATACATCCTTGCTGAATATAAGTATTTAAACAAATTGTACACTTGAACAGTACTATAATATTTCGAAATGTATATATATATATATATATATATATATATATATATATAGACATACAAAATCCACAGAATAAAAACCCTC